CGCAGCCTCAACGAGCGCATCTCCCTCTACCTGGCCCAAGCCCGGGCCAGCCCGGCCGCCCCCGAGGGCCAGCCCCGCAGCCCCAGCCCCGGCGAGGAAGGGGGGACCGACGAGGAGCGGCTGAACCGCAACTCCCTCGCCCGCTCCATTAAGAAGATCACGCTGTCCAACTGGCATGGGGAGGCTGGCGCGGGGGACGCAGGGGGACCCGGGGACCCTGCCCGGACCGGCGGCGAGAGGAAACACAACAACAACAACAGCAGGCCAGGGAAAGCTCAGTTCAAGGTAAGCGCTCCCCGTACCCTGCGCCCTGCTCTCTCCCCGTCTTCCCTGCAGTTCCCCGTTCCTGGCTGCCAAGGGACGGGTAGGTCCTGGGGAGGCTGCGCCCCGGCAGGGGATCCCTGCTGCCTTGTCCCCATGCCCTCCAGGCAGCACTCGCTACAGGGCTCCTGGGGTAGTCACTTTTCCTCCCGCCTCCCCCCCCCGCGCACTTCTCTGTACCGTCAGGCTGGAGGGCAGGAGGTCTTTGTGGGCGAGCTGGAGACGAGGTTTCCCCTAGGGCTAAGATGAACCAGAAAAGCTCTGCCCCAGAGCCCGAGCTATGGAGGGCTCAGCTCTTGGGATGCCCGTGACGATGCAGTTGTGTGTGGGGAGCTGGGAACTCGCTCTCCCGTTTACCGGGGGGGAAACCGAGGCTGGGAGAAGGGAAGTGACTCATGAAGGGCCACACAGCCAGGCAGAGCTGGAACAAGGCTAGGAGCAGGACCCAAGGCTCCCGGCACCCCGCCCTCTGAGTTTGAGTGCTAGCAGGCGTGGAGGTCCGAATCCGTCAGTGCCGGAGCCCGGGAGACCCCCTGCGTGGCTGGGATGGGGCGGAAGGCAGCTTGGAGACCTCGCCGGCGCTGGCAAGAGCAGGCAGGAACTCCTTGGGATTTAACCCTGACCCGCAACAGCTGGTTTCCCGGCGGGATAGCGCTAGGGAGAGCCACGCAGCCCACTGCCAAAACCCTTGTCTTCATTGCCAATAAAGGCCAGGCACGGCCTCGCAAGAGCTGCCGCTTCCTCCGGCATGCAGGCAGCTCCTTGCTGGGCAGCCGGAGTCTGCGCAGCCCAAGGGGCATCGGCATGAGGGCTCCCCTCTTTCATATAAGGTAGGGACACGTGCTCGGCACAGTGGTGTGGTGCGGGACTCTCGGGAGGCTGCCAGGATCGGCCCCTCCTGCCTGTCTGGCCTGGGGGGGTGGAGCTGGAAGGGGGGGGCAGGCTGCAAGATGGAGCCTTGGGAGGGAGAGGGAGAGCCAGGGCACAGGGGAAAGTGTGTGTTAGGCGGGATGGCAGCTGGGGGAGAGAAGGGAACGCTGTCCCCTGGGCAGGGCACGGCCCCTGGCTCTGTGCCTCGTTCCTGCCCTGTAGGAATGGGGGACCCCTCCAGGATGAGCACAGTGCAGCCCAGGAGGGTTTGGCCCTGCTCATCTTGCTTGTGGGAAATCACTGACACCTACCCTTCTACGGGAATGCAGCGAGCATATGTGCTGCGTTAATTTTGCTTTTAATGAGGGAAAAAAGCATTTGCAGAGGAGGCAGCTGAGGCTGCTGCGCTCGTTTCATGTGTGGCTTTGCTCATGTTGTGAAGCCTGGGGTCCTGCTGGGGAGTGGTTAGCACAGCACCTCATGGATGCTGAGGAAGGCACGGCTCCTTCTCCCAGCCTTGGTTTGCTGCAAAAGTGTTGTTTTGCTGGAGTGAGGACCCAGCTCTGGCCGGAGGGGCGGGGGGGGGGGAGTCCCGGTGGAGCAGCTCTGCGGGAAGGATGAAGTCATCCTTGTGCCGGCAGCCCTGTTTTCCTGCGGCTGACGGATCACGAGACGAGGACTTTAAATAAAGCTCCCGTGTCACCTGCAGGCTTGTCTCCCACGGCTGAGCCCTGGGGGGGGGCTCATGGGCTGCAGCCAGCATGGGACAATGCTGCCTGGGAGAGGGGCTTCCTAGGGTCTTACGCCCTGTGAGCACTTCATGTTTAGCTCCCTGGCATTCCCTAAACAGGCATCCAAACATCTCGGCCCTGCGGTTGGGCGGGAGGGTGCCTTCTCCTTCAGAGCTGCACTTCCCGCAGCTGCTGGCACCCTCCTGCCAGACGCACTGAGCTCTTGCTGCGCCTGCCGGACCGTGACTCAGCCTCACTCCCTGCCCGCTCTTCCTGCTCGGGATGGGATGCTGTGGCGTGGTGTGGTGGTCTGTCCTCTGCAGCCACCAGCCGGGCTCTGCAGCCCCCTGGAAAGATCTGGTGGTGCTGGTCTCCCAGGGGTTATAGAGTTGTTGGGCTGTTTATGGGGCTCCGAGCCTTTCTGGTGGCAGCAGCTCTAGAGCTGGGGCATACCATCCATGTTGGGACTCTTCTTTAGTCCTGCAGAGATGGTGGGAAGCCACTTTCTGTGCAGGGAGGGAGTCCTGCTTCGCCTGGGTTGGTTCCCCTTGGACACTGTCCCCAGTCTGGAGTGGTCTGAGCGGTGGTGGGCTGGGTCCAGCTCTGGCTGATCCATCACCCCATTTTCTGTGGCCTCAGAGGAGATCAGGGAGGGGGTGTGGGGGCAGCATACGTTGTCCACCACCTCGTGCTGTCCTGTGCACACTTCGATGGCTGTTACAGAGACAGCAAGTTGGCCCTGGGGAGGGAGTGGAAGGAGGTCCCTAAATTGGCCTGCTACATCCGACGGCCCAAGAAAAGATCCATCCATAGAGGATGAGAGTGACTGCCCTTGTGCATGATCCAAGCAATCCCACGCACCTCTCCTCCTGGGGCTGAGCTCTGTTAAGGATAAGGTAATGTGGAGTTCATCCTGGACCTCCTCTCTGTGCCTGGCTGTGGCTCCTGGACTTCCTTCCTCCTGCCTCTCCTGCTCCCACCCTCGCCTCTGTCCCGCGGGAGCCCTTCCCTGCGAGTCAGCTGCCCCCTTAACTCTTGCCTCCCGGACAGGCCAATGTCAGGGATCAGCAGCTGAGAGGATTCAGCTTCGTGCTGGTGGGGTTATTGTCCTCCTGTGCCCTCGTGCCTCTGCCCTGCTGTCCTGGAGATGGGCAGGGGGGTCTGACTCTGAGCATCTTAGATGACCAGGGGCCAGTGGTGACCACTGAATGGGTTTCTGCTGGCTTTGGAGTCAATTCAAGGGGAAAAAGGATGTGTGTGTGTGAGCTAAAATGGAGAAGGCACTGAGCAAAGCAAGCTTAGGAGCTCTTGCCACTTGCTGAATGTGTGGCAGCAGCTGCGGATGCTACCTGGAGGAGCCTGGCCTGAATGCGTAAGGAGGGACGGGCAAGGTGTCTGGGTACTGCTGGCAGCCTCCTCTGGCCCAGGGCAGGGGGAGGCAGGTGCGCGTTCCTCCGTCCCCTCAGCTGTTAGGACAGTTGAGCACTTCCAGGCTCACGGCTGCACCTTCCCATCTCTAGGTCTTCCTCAGGAAGGACGTGGATGCGGAGGACGAGCAGCAGGAGGCCAGGAGTCCCCGGGCTGGTGGTTTCTGCTCTCCGGTGGACAGAGGTTCCCCCTTCTATGCGGTACGTCCCCCTGCCCTCGCTGTTTAGAGGGTCTGACCCAGGGGTGCAGCTTGGGGCTGAGCAAGCGAGGGCGGCCACTGGTGGTCTGCCCGGGCATGGGTGTGGATGGAGCCTCACTGCTTTAAATGAGTGAGGGGACAAGCTGGGCATGATGGGGTGAGGGGATAGCCCCCAGGCCAACACCCAGAGGTTTTATCACTTCCAAGGGAGCTGGATTACAGGCTCCTCCAGCCCTGGCTGTGTCAAGAGACTGAAGATCCTGGAGTCGCAGGAGGGCCTGAGAATCTGTGTTGCTATTTTAAAAAAAAAAAAAAAAAAAAAAAAAAAAGACAGAGGATTTCTCTAGTTCTTGTGGTTAGGCAGAAAGGCTTTGAAAGCGACTTCCATGCCGTCAGCGGGGCAGCGCATGCCAGAGTGCTTAGAGAGCCTGATTCAGTTGCCCAAACCCCACTGCCCCACAGGCTCCTAGGAGATTGCACCCTGGCGGGCTTGGGGGCAGCTGGGACCCCACGGGGCAGCTCGCAGCCGGTCCCCTCGGGGAGGGAGGGAGGGCTGCTCCAGGCTGGCCCTGGGAGCAATTTCTGCCTGGTGAGAGGAGGCAGCGAGCCCTGCGCCTTCAGGTTTCTCCTGAAGATGCCCAGGCTCCTGTTTGCTGCTGGTTAGGGTGCGGTCAGGTCCCCGTCCCTGGGCAGTGGGGTGGGAAGCGGGTGCCCAGGCGGCTGTGCTGTCTCCTGGGCTGCATGCAGCTGGGCCTGGGGCTGAGCTTGGAGGGGGGCCAGCGCTTTCGCTGGCTGACCTTTGTCATCACCCCCGGCGGAGCTGGAGCCCTGAAAGAGCATTTCGTCAGCACCGGCCGCCCGCGAAGCCGAGCCCCGGGGGAGATGAGGTGCTTCCTGCCACCTGCCGCCACTC